AGAGTGATAGGAGAGTGAGGAGGGCATTTGTCTTGCATGCAGCCACCCCAGATTCAACCCTCAGCATCCCCTGAGCGCTGCCAGGAGTGATTACTGGGCTCAGAGACAGGAGTAAGCCCTGAGCATTGCTGGATGTGACCCAAATAAACAATAAATAAGTAAATAACCTGTTCTCGGTTCCGCCCTTACGCAGATCTGCCCCTTGTCATTGTCACCCCCTCACATTCCAGTGCCCCATCCTTTAAAAACGCAGCAAGGCAAATAAACCGCAAGCAGCCCAGAATCCTTAGGATCCCTTCTTCCCACCTACAACATTAAAGAGAAAAATCCAGTATGAACAGCAAGGCTGGCCTTAAAGAAGTCGAGCTATTTTACGGAACAGGAGAGGAACGGTCAGATGTTCAGAGACAGAGATGCTCTGACACCCGTCCTAAGTATAAGAAGTCACCAAGCCTGATGGTTCCTCAAAATAAGGTAAAAATAGACGCACCCCATGAGTCAACTATTTCACTTCTGGGTAAGTGCCCAGGAGAATTAAAAGTGGTATTTCTTGAAGAGGCGGCTGCGGGTTTGTCAGGGCTCTGGCAACACTGGCCATGAGTGCCTTGAGGGAGAATGGACTCCCAACACACACACACACACACACACACACACGCTCTCGGCAGAGGACCAAGGGCGAATCTACAGATAGTCAAAATGCAGTTTTCGTGCATGGAACCGGGAGCAGCCTTGGAAAGGCGAGCACTAGCCCAGCTGGCTCAGCTCCACATGCGCAAGGCCTAGGTTCTATCCCTAGCACCCCACGGCTCCCGAGCACAGAGCTGGGGACTACTCAAAGAAACCCCAGGAGGGAGAGTCTCGAACCTGCGCCAAAACCACACCTGCCCTGTCACGGTCCTCTGCCTTTCTAGGGAGACACAGCCCACGAGAGCCTGAGAGCCCAGCAAGCTGCCCCCTCCCAGCTGCCACAGGGGAGCAAAGGAAAGGTCCCTGCAGCATTTTAGAGAAACAGTCAGTAGTCTGACAAACCGAAAGTCCCTACCTGAGGGCAGGGATAGGTTTTTGGAAACTGCAACTTGAATCAAAATAACATTGAGGAAGTCAGGGGGGAGGGATTGAGTGATAGTACAGCCAGTAGGGCCTTGCTTGTCGGCATGCCGCTGACCCAGGTTCAATCCCCGGCATCCCATATGGTCCTCCAAGCACAGCCAGGAGTAATTCCTGAGTGCAGAGCCAGGAGTAACACCTGAGCATCACTGGGTGTGACCCAAAAAGCAAAAAAAAAAAAAAAGTCAAGGAAGACCTGCTGAGCCCCAATAACATCGGAGCCAGACCCCATGTCAGGAAGAATCAAGCAGGAGGAGCTGGAGAAACAGAGCACCTATCTGCTAAGCATCTGGTCATGATCCCTAGTGTCCCACATGTGCCAGAGTCCAGCAGAGCAGCTCCTGTGGTCTGTTGTCCACAGTGACACAAATGATTGCTGTCTGTACCAGGGTCAGGTGTATTTGAGCACCATAAAGAGGGGAGCCACCCCAGTGAGCACCCCAGCTAAAGAGATGAGTGCCACAGTCAGGAAAGGTGAACCCTGATGAGCGGATGGTGGGCACTGCCACATCCCTGGTGGGCAGCAACCACAGCTGCGTGTCACAGGGAGCACATATGTGAGCAGAAATAAAGGTGTGTAAGCGTTGGGAGCAATGAAGCTGAGTGTACGAGCCCCGCAAACTCAGGGCGACCCCCGGGAACACAACTAAACGTGTGTGGGCACCACCGCCAATATGTGTGCGAGTACCACCACCAGGCATGTGTATGCCATGTGTATGTCTGGGCATGTGTATGTATGGGCACCACGATGTTAGAGGTCACAGAGGGGCTGGAGAGATCGGACATCGGGGAAGGCACTTGCAACCTGAGGCTCAGGTAGTCTCAGTCTGATCTCTGGTACTGCACCCCCAGAAGTGATCCCTGAGCACATAGCTAGGAGTCAGTCCTAAACAGCCCTGAGGCCCCAAACACCTCTAGGGTGGCCCAGGAAACCCCCCAGCCCGGCAGGATCTGCGCTGAATCACATCCCTGAGCCCTTGTGTTAACCCAGGAGCCTAGCTGGCTGAGAATCAGCAGGAGGGGTCCCTGGATAAACTGAGCATTGCTTGGCAGCCCCAAAAATACCTGTCAACCTCGTGATAATCTCCTACACCAGTTTCTGATTTTTTTCTTATTTAATCATTCTGCAACTATCGCCCAATCTGCCTATTGTCTGTCATCTACAAACTATTCACTCGAGTCATCCTGAATAGGATTAGCAGAACACTAGATGAAGGACAACCATGTGAACAAGCTGGATTCCGAAAAGGATTCAGTACCATCGACCATATCCACACAATAACCAAGCTCATTGAGGTATCTCGGGAGTTCAAGATGCCACTCTGTCTAACGTTCATTGATTTAAAGAAGGCCTTTGATTCTGTTGAGACAGAAGCGGTCATGGAAGCCCTAGCCAATCAGGGCGTACAAACTCAATACATCAGGATCCTTCGTGAGCTCTACTACGGATTCACTACCAAGATCTCACCATTCTACAAAGAAGTAATCATCCATATCAAGAGAGGGGTTCGGCAGGGTGATACCATTTCACCAAAACTCTTCAGTGCCACCCTCGAGAACATCATGCGACGACTGGAATGGGAAAACATGGGAGTGAAGATAGATGGTCGGCAACTACACCACCTCCGCTTTGCTGATGACATCGTTCTAATAACACCAAACATCAACCAAGCGGCACAAATGCTGAATGACTTTGACCGTGAATGTGGAAAGGTCGGACTACAGCTGAATCTTACGAAGACAATGTTTATGAGAAACAGCCTTGTTCCTGACGCTCCATTCGCTCTCAACGGAACCACCATCTCCGAATGCAACAGTTATATATACCTAGGTCGAGAAATCAACATGATGAATGACCTGGCACCTGAGTTGCGCAGGAGGAAGAGAGCGGCTTGGAATGCCTTCAAGAGCATTGAAGAAATAACTAAAAGGACAAAGAACCTCCAGCTACGAGCACATCTCTTTGATTCCACTATTCTTCCTGCATTAACATATGCCTCAGAGACCTGGACCCTACGAAAACAGGATGAGAACACTATTCGGGTCTCTCAAAGAGGAATCGAAAGAACTATGCTTGGAATATCACGATTCACTCAAATGAGAGATAGAATCCGGAGTTCTGATCTTCGTCAACGCTCAAGAATCAGGGATGCTGTCTCATTTGCCAAGACATCAAAAATCAGATGGGCTGGACACGTAATGAGGTTTACAGACAACCGCTGGACTAGAGCCATTACTGATTGGATTCCACGGGACATCAAAAGATCACGTGGACGCCCACCTATAAGATGGTCAGACTTCTTCGTCAAGACCCTAAATGATCGATTTGAGGCTCTACATGTTCCTAAAACGAACAGATACTATTGGGCTACGCTAGCACGCAACCGGGATGAATGGAGACGTTACTGGCACCCGCTCGAATAAATCGATGAATAACGGGGATTAAGTGATTAAGTGATTAATCATTCTGCATCAGTAATTTTGGTTTGCTCGAGCAGGCATCAATAACGTCTCACAACAAATTGTGAGACTTTTTGTTACTGTTTTTAAACCAAATAAAACAGCAACAACAAATTACTCGGGCAAATCAATGAACAACGGAAGGACAATGCTACAGTGCTACTCATTCTGCACCGAGTCTCTATAAAATACTGATCACAGCAATAATAACCCCCAACACAAATGTAGCTCATGGTGTTTCACAAAGTCTCCAATGGAGACGTTACTGGGCCCGCTCGAGCAAATCGATGATCAACGGGAGGGTGTTTCACTAATAAAATTTTTTTAAAAAATAAAATAAAATAAGAAGAAAAAAATAATAATAACCCCCAACAAGTGGAATTTGATTTATTTGGTTTAAGAGAAGAAAGAGTATCCCATTACCTCGTCCTTCACCAAATCCGGGTGAGGCAACCTCCTGGCTCTGTCCACTGGCCCACGTGAGTGACTGGCCAAGGTCCACCAGCCATAAGGAAGTGGCAAGCCAGAGTCAAGTGCACTGCTGCCGCCCAGCCCAGCCCTTTGCCTCCATGTGGATGTGGACACCATTGGTGGACACTGTCGCGATCAGAATGCCCCATGTCAAAATCAGCATAGCCACTCTTGGCCCCACTTCTCACGGAGGCCAGTCTCATGGTCCCCTGCTCCAGGTATGCGAAACATCATATCAACGTCCAAGTTTGCGAGAAGCGTCCTCAGCACCCTGGTCTTCACCCGGAGAGCATAGCAGCTAACATTCCTCCAACTCTTTGTATATGTCTGGCACCACCTGGGTTAACACATGCTACACACAGAGCCATGCCCCGAAGTAAGGACAGATACAATGTCCACTCAGGAGAAGTTCAGCAAGGTTGGCTGGCCCCGCATGGCACAGTTCTCCCCAGAGCCAAGATTTGAGCTCTGGAGCTTGTGTTCTTAACCAAACTACCAATTCTGGCTCCCCTGAGCCGAGTGTGGTTAACTTTGGGGGCGGGGGTGGTGCCGTGTGGATGGAGGGGCTCTAGAGGGAGCAATTAAAACTCTGAATCCTCTCATGGGTAAATGCAGTCACGCGGGCTCCTCTAAAACAGTGCAGAGATTTGAGGAATCCCTCGGGCTCATCAGCTAATCAGCTATCGACCTCATGCCGGCCGAAGGGAACTGTCCGGAGACCAAAACAGAAGCCGCGCCGGCGCGGCGGGATTCAGCCTCTGCATGGGGCACTCAGCGGGGCAGCGGAACTGTGTCGTCACGGAGATGCTTCGTCGTTGCTGAGAACCAGGACCCGGGAGGCCCGGGAACCGCGGGGCCCTGAGAACGCAGCGGAGCTGGGTGGGAGCTGCGTGAGCTGCGCTCGGACCCCTGGCTGGACTGAGATTTGGCGTTCCGGCTTCCAGGATCCTGGATCACGGGTCTCTGGGCGAACTGGGTCTGAGAAGCGCTGGTTACGGGCTCCCCAGGGGCGTGCGTCGCTGTCCCTGGTGCTGAAAACTCCCCAGGAGCTGTCCGGTGCTGAACCCGGATGCGGCCCGGCCCGCGGCGCTCGGCCCTGAGCTGGGAGCGCTGACGCAGTCCGCCGGGAGAGCAGGAAGCGGCCGGGATGGACCTGCAGAGACTGGACTCCTATCAGGGGGGAGCCGGCCCGGACCACGTCCTGCACAAGGTAAGACCCTTCTCCCGGCCTTCACCCTCATCCCCGGGCGGAGGGGAGGAGGGAAGGCGCCAGCGCAGAGTTGTCACTTCTTCTCCTGACTTGGCTTTGGGACTTAAAGAGAAACCAGCCCCGTTCTGCAAGCCCAAAGGACGCTTTTTCCGTTTGATCTCGTTGTGCGGCTCAAAACAGATGCTTGAGCGCTGGGGGAGGGGCCCTCCCGGCACTGGCGCGACTGTCAGGCGCTTCTTCATTCATTCACCGCACCCCACCCCACCCCACCCTGGCCCCGCCCGGCAGTATCGGCAGTATCGTCCTCCCATGCGTTTGGATTCCTGTGTGCTCCAAGCATCCTTTTCCTCTGAAAGCCTCCACCCGGGCTGTGTTTATCCCTCCACGCCCGCCTCAAAAGCTCCAGCCCTGTGAGATCTGGCTGTTGTGGTCAGAATTCCCGTCCTGGAGGGCTGAATTTTGACAGTGTGATGACTTGCAGCAGAAACGATTTGTTTTCAAGCCAGACACTCCCGGTGCCAGAAAGCCGCTTCCAGCCACTGGCTCCAGGCCTCCCGCGAGTGTTTTGTTTCAAAGCTTTAACTGGTCCGTTCCATCCCTCATTCAAGTTTCTTCTGATGCAACTCGGTTCTCACAAATGCCAGTCTAACGCTTGAGGGGCTGGTTGAGAAAAGTAATAGCTTCCCTCTAGGTAACACTTTTCTGTCTGTCACTCTGAACCAGAGATTTATATTTGCTGCTAGAGGTTATTAAAGGGTTGGAAAGATAGTACAGGAATTAGGACGTTTGCCTTACCCAGTTGGACATCAGTAGTACATGGTCCACCAAGGGTGACCCTGAAACCTCTAAGTACTGCTGGTGATGCCCCCCCCAAAAAAGAAGTAATTATAGTTCTGTTTTTTTTTTTTCTCTCAACCCTCCTTGTTTTGACCTTCTGTTTTCCACTGTGTTATCTGTTAATCCCCTGAAAGGCTGTGGCTGGTATCCGGCCCCACCCTTGAAGGTTATTTATGTGGAAGTGTCCTCTTGAGAAGGACAACTTTGAAGTATAGCTGCTCCTCCTTCCTCCTCTGTGCCACCGTTTGTACATGCACATGTTAGTATGCAAAGCTGAGAGAGCAATGAGGCTTGTCCAAAGAACAAAGTGATCAAAGGCAGAACTTAGTGGTAAAAGGCAGGAAGATCAGGCTCAGGGTCTAACACTTTCTCTATACACGTGTGGCCACCAGGATTGGCATTGCTGGCACCAGTTCAAAATTCACTGAACAATATTTTACAAATTTCCTAGGAAATAAATAGGTGTGTGGACATTTTTCACACATAAATCCTCACCACAGAGGCTGATTCAGACACAAATGAAGGGGGACGTTGGTCTGTGGACTTGGACACTCTGGTTTTTCTCCCTCCAGTAGTGTCTAGAGGAAAAGCACATTTCACAAGCATGTAGTGGGAGTTGTAACGAGGGGTGGAGTGATAGTACAGTGGGGAAGGCATTTGCCTTGCACACAGTCGATCCAGGTTTGATCCCCAGTACCCCCCCCCACCATGGTCCCCAGAACACCACCAGGAGTGATTCCTACAACAACAAAATTATAAAGAGCAGCAGGGTTGGAAGCAAGCTAGCACAGACCCGTGTTCCTGAGGTTCTAATCCCAGCTGCAGCAGAATGTAAACATAAGCAATGCAATGTGTGTGCAAACCCATGATAAAGTTACTCTGGTCACTAGGGACATCTCTGTGTGTGTGTGTGTGTGTGTGTTTAGATAGTTTTAGAATTCTATAAATGTTCATTTTAAAATCTTTATGCTTTGGAAACCAGAGTTTGGTCTTTTCAATCCTCAGTTCCCCACATGTGAGAGGCAAAATGAGTGCATTCAGAACTGTTTCCCCCTGGGCTGGAGCTATAGCACAGTGAGAAGGGCATTTTCCTTGCATGCAGCTGAACTGGGTTCGATTTCCAGCATCCCATATGGTCCCCCGAGCACCACCAGCGGTAATTCCTGAGTGCAGAGCTAGGAGTAACTCCTGAGCATCGCCGGGTGTGACCCAAAAAGGAAAAAACAAAAAACAAAAAAAAACCTTTTTCCCCCTGGAGATTTGTTGAGTACTAAACTGGGAATCAGCCTCATCTGACAACTTCCAGGATGCTTGAATAACGCCCATTCAGTCTCTTCAGCCTGGTGGTGGGGGACACCCAGTAATGCTCAGGGTCATTCCTGGGTCTGCACTCAGGCATCACTCCTGGTGGTGCTTGGGGAACCATAAGGGGATCCAGCGATTGAACCTGGATCAGCTACCTGCAAGGCGAGCGCCCTCCCCGCTGTGCTATGGCTCAGGCCCTGGGAGCATCTGGAGAGGAGCTTCTGGACTGAGCCTTCTGGGGTAGCCAGCAGAATGATGCATGTGGAACTATCCCTTTCACTGTTGTGCGAATGACCCCCCCCCCTCCTCTTACGACCTTGCACCTGCTGTCAGTAGGGTCCCCCTCTGTGTCCTGCTGTGAAGGAGCGGAGTAGCCAGACATCTGTGTGGGTTTAATGCTTGCTCTATAAATGAGACCAAACACTTTCAGTTGCTTCATTAAGATGCATGGGCCAAGGAAACAGAAACTCCTTCAGCATCCAGGGCTAAGAATTATTTTTTAATAAACTGTTTATTGAAATCAAATACTCAAATAAAATGAAATTTTTAAAAAACCCTTGCATCTTTGGACCCCTTAAGGGTCCTCTCTAAGTAAGGACCCCTTGGCACTTATCACCAGGATCAACAGGCAGGATCTTGACAGTGTCCCAGAAATGCCCACAGCCCCCTCCCTCCTGCCCTCCCCCTCCCTCCCCAGGGCCATTGCCTGAGGCAGGGACTTCTGTCAGGTTCCAACAACTGCTCTGCAGGACAGTGCCAGAGAAGAGCCTCTGACATTCGGTGACTGAAAAGAAACCCATGGAGAGGGACCAAACTCCCACTTGCCCTCGAACAATATTGTTCTATGAAGGCCGGAAGGATAGCACGGTGGGAAGGGCTTTTGCCTTGCACAAAACCAACCTGAGTTCTATTCCCAGCATCCCACAGGGTTTCCTGGGCATGATCAGGACTGATCCCTGAGCACAGAGCCAAGAGTCAGCCCTTAGCACCGTCAGGTGTGGCCCAAAAACAAAACCAAAAAGATGTCCACCAGTCTTTTCTCATCTGTAAAAAAACTGAGTCAGGGCAATAATGCAGCATGGGGAGGGTGTTTACCTTGCACGAGGTAATCTGGGTTTGATCCCTGGCCTCCCATATGGTCTCCTGAGTCTTCTGGGAGTGATTCCTGAGCACCAAGCCAAGAGTATGCCCTGAGCATCACTGAGTGTGACCCAAAAACCAAAAAAATGGAGGGGTGTAAAGATAGTGCCTGAATTGTGGCTTTGAGTGGGGACATTAAAGAACATGTTCGACTCCTCCAAAATATCGAAGTAGTCTTTTTCCTCTGGCATAGGAAAAGCACATGTGTGTGCATCTGTGTGTGTGTATGTGTGTGTGTGTGTGTGTGTGTGTGTGAATGTATATACTCGGGGGAGCCTGTGAAGTCTGAGGGTATGTGCGTTTGTGGGGAATGGCAGGTCCTTCACTGGCATTTAGGACACAGTCAACGAGGCTTGTGGCCAGGACACACATTTAGGGCTCCAGAGCAATAAGGAACACATCTCTCCCCCTAAAAAGATGCAACTCAGGGGAAAAAACAGCAGGTCAGCACGTGACAACATAAGGTCACTCTCTCTCTCTTTCTCTCTCTCTCTCTCCCTCTCTCTCTCTCCCCACACACACCTCCTCTGTCTCTCTGTCTCTGTCTCTGTCTCTGTCTCTCTCTCTCTCTCTCTCTCTCTCTCTCACACACACACACACAGAGTCCTGCAGAATTCAGCTCTCACAAGCCACCTGACTTGGTGTGAACATTCTGGCTGGGTCTGGGAACACAGGATGGGGACCCATGAAATGCTCCACCAACATTCACTGTTCATATCCAGAGGCTACAGCAACTGGGGCATTTGCCTTGCAAGCAACACCTGGACCACCAGAACTGATCCCTGAGCACAGAGCCAGAGGCAAGCCCTGAGCACTACTGGGTGTGGCCCCAAAACAAAAACAACTCCCCCAAAATTCCATATAGATGACCTAATCTCACAGCTGGAGAAATTAGAAAAAGATTTACAAATGAGGGGCCAGGGAGATAGAACACCAGGGAGGCACTTGCTTTGAATGCGACTGACACAGATTGAATCCCTGGCACTCAATATGGTTCATTAAATGCAGAACCCGGCAGCTTTTGGCAGTAAAGTGAATGGACTATGTGTTAATCCATGCCACCATGCCTGCCCGGAGGGAAAAGGATGTTGCTCCCTTCTGCCTTTTTCCCTCTGGACAGCAAGATGGTGGCCGCTTCGGAGCTTTTTGGAAAGCCAGGTATGAGCCAGTCGTGATGGGGGCGACTGAAACCTCATGGGGAAGGGGGGCCGTTCCGGGCTCGTCCTTCACACCCTACCGAGGTCACGAGTTGCCCCCCACGAGCGGCTCTCCGGCACAGCCATGGCTCTAGAGCCACAGAAACCAGTTTCATAATTATCTGACTCTCGGCAGAAATACTTCCAGGCTTAATAAGTAAAATATCAGAAATCCAAAATCATCATTTGATTCTTATAACCAGCTATAGAAACAAATTATTTCAGAATGTCTTTTCTACAGGTCTGACTTGGGGGTGTAAACTCTACATAATAATAATGCATCTTTTGTCGAAACAATGAATCTAATCAAAGTAGATAGAGTGTTAACTAGAATTCATCTGCCTCACAGGCATTGGGAGGGTTGGGAGGGAGGTATATTAGGGTTCTTCTTGGTGAAAAATAAGTACTGGTGAAGGGAAATGTGTTTGATGATTGCATGACTGAGACTTAAACCTGAAAGCTTTGTGACTTTTCCCACAGTAATTCAATAAATTAATAAATTTAAAAAATATATATATATGG